TATCTGATAATTAATTTAATAAATAACATTAAATGAAAAACCATGGACTTCTACCAACACGGAGAGTAAATACGTACTTGTAATGGGTTTGTGAAGTAGATTTGTGGAATGGGTATATGAGATGTTTGTGAAGTGGACATATGGCGTGGGTATTCGACGTAAGTTTGTTAAGTGGGTATTTGAAGTGGGCATGTGAAGCAGTGCCAACGTCAGGCTTTGATACGGCACAAAAAAAAAGAAAAAAAAAAAGTGAAGCAAGCTGGGTATACGAGGTGGGCGTGGCAAATGAAGTAACTATGCTAAGTGGGTATGTGAAGTGAGCTGGGTATGTGAGATGGGCGCTTGAAGTAAATAAAGGGAAGTGAGTATTTATGTGCTATACAGTACATAGATATCTTATATAACCTCTTATATATCTGTTTAATAATCCACGTGCAAGTATATTTTCTCTCTATGAGCGTTTTCATTGTATTTACAAGTATTATAATTAATTTTCCTATTTTCTTATTCATCATTTTTATTTACGATTTTTTACTGACACTTATTTACATTCATGGTCTTTTATCTACAACTTCTGCCTACATTTTGTGTTCATTTATTTTACTCAACGCTAATTTACACTGGTCTCTGATTTCCAGTTTTTTTTGTTTTTGTTTACATTCAGACATTTATTTTTATTTAAGCTTTATTACTCACTCTTATTAACACTAATTGGTATTTACGTTTTTTTTTAGGTTGTGATTATCGATACAGCTTCTCCCTTCTTCGCTGATCTTAAACCTATTGTGTTTTAGTGTTATTACAACTATATATATATATATATATATATATATATATATATATATATATATATATATATAAACACTCATTCCTATAGGGGAAAAAAGGAACAAACGGCTTCTCTCTCTTTCTTTTCTTCTTTCTCTCTCTCTCTCTCTTTCTGTCTGTCTCTCTCTCTCTTTCTCTCACTCCTTCCTTCTCTCCCTCCCCCCCTCTCTGCTTGTCTGTCTGCCTCGTCCTTCCTCTTACCCCCCCTCTCTCTCTCTCTTCATGGAATGGATGTTGCGTGTTTCGTTCCAGGTATATATGCAAAATAGCAGACGACAAAAAAAGAAAAGAAAAAAAAGGGAGAGCCTTAGAAGAGAGATCTAATGGTCTCCATACACGTTTCAGAGGGATAAAATATGAACAGATAAATAACAGGAGTCGGCATCTTTTGTGAGTGGTTAAGGTTGTAAATGAATGTCCTTTCACTGTTGCGGAAGGACTAAGGTATCGTGAATATAAAACAATACATATTTAAAAGACAGATGGGAGAAGAATAATAAGGAGGAGAATAAGATTCAGAAGAAAGAAAAAAAAAAACAAAGACCATGATTTCGTCCCCCAAAAGCAAAATAAAGTTGAAAGGAGACAGCAAAAAAGAGAACCTGTTTGTGATGCCCACTCGTAGGATTTTCGGTACGCTTTTCCTCCTTCTTGACGGGCGGCTGACACTTTGAGTTCCACAAGGCTTCGACCACTGTCTCGAAAAGCATCGCACGCTGAAAGACATTTTCTTATAAAGGGGGGCGTTTAAGTAAATGCCAGCCAGGAAACATCGACGTGAGAATGGCAAGGTAATCCATAAATAAACTGAGAATGGTAAAGAAGAAACATCGAACTCGTAGACTTATATCCGAAGTGAAAAACCTTAGTAGACGTTGCCATCAGAGTCTCCGAAATGAACCCGAAGGCCAGTTTCAGGCAGATCAGAAGGTGTGTCTTGAACGGAGAGGTTTGAGGAGAGGAGCAAACAGAAGACGATAAGAAGATTAAAGAAGAGAGAGAGAGAGAGAGAGAGAGAGAGAGAGAGAGAGAGAGAGAGAGAGAGAGAGAGAGAGAGAGAGAGAGAGGGGGGGAGTGGGGGGGGAGAGAGAGCGATTACGAAGCACATCAAGAAGGGTAAATTGTTGCCCACCGATTTCCCAAGGCAAAGGGAAGAACTGAAATGGATTTTCAAATATTAATATAAGGATTTGCTTTGGCAGAAAAGAATCTTTTTAGTTCTAACAGCCAGATATCATTCTCTATGGCGAAGGGACGATAGACATGGCAGGATAATCAGACACTTTACATGTTTATTATGCAACATGGAAAATTTTAATTTTCTAAAAATAAACAAAACTTCGCTCTTTTCGAAGATCTACGCGAAGACAAATATGCTAAACACACAAGGACTGCCGAATGACTAGGTCACAAAAACATGTTAATCTTATCCAACAACTTGAAGCACAACAAGGTAAAAACAACAAAAGGAAAAAGAATGTGCGTTAAATTTGCGTGTCCAGTCTTCACTACTTCAGGAAACTCCTAATTCGTTTCTCAATCAACAATAAACACAAACTACGTACTTTGCTAACATCAGTACTAACGACCCCTGTCTCTCTCCGTGTTATGTCCGTGTTATGTATCTGTTACACACGGACGCATCCCAACTTGACACATTAATATCTTGTCC